CAAGTCATTGTCAATCACCATTATAACAGTAAATCATTTGAAGACTAAAGTCAATTCAGCTCAATTTGACAGTGAAAGAATGAGCATAATGTCACTTTAAAAGGGCTTCTGACTTTATGAAATGTAAAATGTTATAAAACGAAAGATCTAACATTTGTTCTAGTCTGTCTCTAATTACTGTATAGGGGCCAGGGGCCTTCATTTAGGTATCACTTTGTTTTGAAGATAAAGAAAAGTTTTGTCTGTCAATAATACTTATGATGTTAATTAATAAGTGTAATATATTTCATATTGCAAGAAAGCAAGTTTCAATAAGTCATGACATTAGACAAAACATTGGGATTACATTTCAACACATTTGGATTGAAAAAAAACAACCTTTTATTTATCCAAATGTACATATCGATTCAACTCTTCTTTGAAATTTTTAAAAAATAATTATATGGGGTTTCGAAATTAGGTCTGCATTAAGGAATCATTGAAAAGTTGTAAATTCATTTATTTGTAAAGCTGAAACTTTATAACATTATTGCTGATCAGTTTACTTTGCCATAATTATAAATTGAGTTTCCCCAGAAGCTACACATGCTTTGGTCTTTGTGAGTTATATGTTAAACAAAAAAGTTTACCTTATAGCATCACTTATATATTAAATATGTGATGATTATTTGTTTATTGAAATAACACCTGGAGTCATCCATGGGAGGCACTGATCTTTTTATCCATGCTATATGATGGTGATTATTTAATTCAGTGGTGGGAATGGTGTAAATAAGCATCAGTTCAACACCAGAAAAGTAGTGTGTGATTTTCTTGGGCCAGTTAACTAGTGAATTTTTCTTGGCCAGTTTTCCAGTAAAAATTACTGTCTCTAATAACTATTTTGTCTTGCATGTTAATTCAACGTTGATTTCTATGAGAGATTATTTCTGTATATTACAGATTGTTATGGAGTATTGTGGGGCCGGTTCTGTCGCAGATATTATGAGATTACGTAACAAAGTTGTAAGTTATTTATTGCCTGTTATCTAGTAATGTTCAGCAATTCTGATTCTGTTAAAAGAACACCACTGAGGTACAGAATTCAAAAGAATCAAAAACTCTTGCTAATATCAACTGGGACGGTGGGAGTGGGGTGTACTTATACAAGAAAATTTCAAAAGGTAGTAATGTGATAAATTAAAGATTTAAGTAAAAATTGATTTTTAATGCGATTCTTAGCCTGACTTGTGTTTAAAGTTATTTATGTGTGCTTTTCATTTTTTGGGTCATGTTTCACAGTTAGGATGAAAACCACAGTCTGTGAATGAATCAGTAACTTTGCATACAAATAATTTCAGAAAAATTATTTCCAGTCCGGTCATGTTAATAAAACCGTAGCGGAGTTCTTTAAAGATTATTTACCTGTAAATAATATGTTAGGTGACATGTTCCTACTATATAGACAGTAGTTGTAGATGGCCAAGTAAAGTACAAAAGAAGAAACTTTATGTAAAGCTTGAGCTATTTTTGGAGAAAATCTCAGAAATGATATTAATGTCAGCCCTCTTAACTTATTAGGGACAGCATCAACTTTGTAATCCAGGGGTTGTTGGTCCAAACCTTGGGTGAACCTAAATTTCTCTGTGACAATTAATCTAGAGACATTCAGTCTAATGTACATTTATCTGTCACTAACAAATCAGAAATTATGTGTGATTAGTCCTTCGGGATCATTTATGGACAGTGAATCTATTAAGTATTGAGAATTGAGTACCGCTCAAGTAAATTGCCAATGGGCATATTTTATCAAACTATAAAAGTATACCAAAAATAGAAATATTTTTGAGAAATAAAAGTAAAATAATCTCTGAGGCATAAAGGGCATTTAAACAATGGTAGTAATTGAGGTTTCCTGTTGTAAATTTTTTTTAAATCATTCGTCTCACTTAATGGTAAGATGGAGGAAATTAATTGAAATTTTATGGACAGTTTCAGGAAGAATATCATTTTGAAGTACTTTCAAAATTGATCAGTAAGGACTTAGAATAACAGATATTGATTAACATGGATTTATTTGAGCCGTGTCATGACAAAACCAACATAATGGGTTTGCGTTCAGCATGGATCCAGACCAGCCTGACTGGCGGATGATCAGAGTCCATGCTGTTCGCTTTCAGTTTCTCTACTTGTACGCCAGGCTGGTTGGATGGTAAATTATGTTGGTTTTGTCGTGAAGTTGTAAAAATGTTAGAGACTCAGACAGCTGAATTTTGATTTAATATTCTGATTTTAACCGATGACGATCTATACTGTGAAATCATTAAATATTCGTGGGGGATTAATTTTCCCATGAAATTAAGTCCCAACGAACAAATTGTGCCCAAAATAATGTTAAGTATGAAACATCAGTCAACAGCACCAAAAATGCTTGTAGTGGTGCGAAGTTGGTACATCTTCTGTAGACAAACTGCGTGCTTACCTGCGTTTTTCTTGTACATTATTCATTGAATAAAAAATAATCATAGGTAATTATGAATCAGATACATAATCGACTAATAACCTTTTGTTATGTATGTATGTACCGATTGTTTGTTTTTTTACTTGGTGCAATCCAAACTGAAAGTAAAAATCGTAGTGATGTAGGGTCACGTGACTATCAAACAGCACTATACTACGGATGCTATTTGTATTGATACGGTTCCTGAATGAAATGATTATTTTTACCAATATGGAGTATATAACTAATATAATATTATATTTCTTTGGTACTTATTTCTTCGTATAGTAGATTGACTCCTAGATTTTATCTGCTGTTTTCTCAGCAAATTCATATTTTATGATAACCGGATGGTTACACTATTCAACTTCTACGAAAATCTTTAGTAAATAAAAACAACTGTAATGTACGTAACATTTATTTGTTTACTTCTTGTATTTTAAATCATTGAAACACAATATCAATATCAACTCATTTATTTACATAAACAGCACATTATTATTGAACATAAAAAATAAACAGCACATAATAACATTCTGACATGAAAAATATCAGTAATTGTTTCTATCGTCAGTTTGCTAAAAGTTAAAGCACAATCCGTAACTAGATCTAGAATCTTTTAGCGGATCAACATCTTAATTAAAAAGAAATACAATCACATTTTTAGACTGCATATTTTACACTGCGACACTCATTTACGTCTGCTACAGTATTTAAAGTCCGGCTTTCCTGAACCCTGTCTGTACTAGATCACATCTGTTCTCCATCTGTGCGTGTGCGCTAACGATCCATTTAGCATGGATTGGTTTCAGTGTTGAAGTTTTCAAATCGACAGGGGTGCGTGTACATTCATCACCACTATTCAATGTATCAATCACTTGTTGTGTGTACCACTCGTGAAAACGCGCCTTAAGAGCCTCCTTGTAATCATAATTTACTGCAACATCTAGTGGCTGAAGACGGTCGGTACAACAGGCTGGCACAAAAAGCGGGGTAATACCATTGTCCTTTAATTTCTTGAGAACACTTGGACTCTGATGGGCCCGATACACATCAAAGATTGCTACGGCCTGTTGACTAGATTTCACAAGAGGTAGTCCATCCCTAACACTGTTCACATATGGTATAATGATTTTCTCAACGTAACGCAACATGGACTCTTCATTACTCCAGTGACTTTCAGTGCACGTAACATCCCACAAATCAGGAAAGTCACACTTAGGCAAGCATCTCTCTGTCTTACCAGCGTAAATCAACTGTGGTGGAAGAAGTGTTCCGTCCTTAGCTATAGCTAACACTAACGTGATTTGGCGTTTATTGTCTAAGCCAGTTATGGGAACTTGTTGTGAACCACGTTTATCACGTTTTTCGCAGCTTTAAAATTCATAAAGAAAGTTTTTACACACCTTAAAATTTTAACAATGAAAAAGATACGCAATATATTATAAAGTATAATTGACACTTGACACTTGTTAATTGAGAAGACCGATCGGTAGGTTAATTACCATAATAACAATTCTTCGGTTGATTGGTCAGGTAGAAACACGTGATCTTCCACGTGTCAACAATTTCATAGCACAAAATGTGGTATATTGTTTGTATGGTTTTATCGAATTTTGAAATCAACGAATTTTCGGCCACATATATTTTTATACCTGGAAATTGAAATCCACGAATTTATGACCCCACGAAATTGCCTTTTGCCGGAAAACCACGAAAATTTATGCCCTCGAATTAAAATGATTTCACAGTATGCTGTAATGATTTAAAGTTTAAAAGCTCAACACTTTCCTTGACTTGCTCATTGTAAGTCTCTCTGTATGGCATAAAGGCTTTTGTGAAACTCATTGAAATAAATGACAGAATGTTAATATTGATAACTGTAATATTTGTTTCAGTTAAACGAGGAAGAGATAGCTACTATATTATACTACACATTGAAAGGTCTAGAATATCTGCACTCTAAGAGAAAGATTCACAGGGATATCAAGGCTGGAAACATCCTTCTAAACACAGAGGGGCATGCTAAACTAGCTGATTTTGGAGTTGCTGGCCAGCTCACAGTATGTAAAATTTGATACACTTTTGATCATAGACATAAGGATTGAATCTCACCTGGGATTATTAATTTATATACATTTGTCTGAGGAAGCTTGACAGGTGTTTTGGTTAAAGGGTTGATAGATCAAACCAGATGTCTTCCGATAGTTGAAATAATGCATGGACGGATATCATTGGTCCTTGTCCACCATTATAAATAGAAAAGTGGTCATAATTTAATTTAAGAAATTCCTGAGCCAGATTTGAGTTAAAAGTTTTGAAACTCATTTAGTTTTTGATCAAGACCTACATCAAATGGTTCATGAATCTTGAGAAAAAAAGATGTTTCCAGTTCCGTAATGTCAAAAATCTTAACAGAGCCCCTTCAAGATCTTAATCAGGTGTCAAAGGTGGAAAATGAGTGCTTGGCCATTATAATTACTATGTGAAAAGCATGTTTAATCAAATTAAAATATCAGTACAAAACATTGATAACTAGTTTCTATTTTGTATGATATATTAACAGGACACAATGGCAAAACGTAATACTGTGATAGGAACACCATACTGGATGCCCCGAAAAAAAAAAAAAAAAAAAAAAAAAAAAAAAAAAAAAAAAAAAAAAAAAAAAAAAAAAAAAAAAAAAAAAAAAAAAAAAAATTTTCAAAAAAATTTTTTTTAAATAAAGTTTATTTATTTTATTTAACAGGACAAATGGAAAAAAATAGGGGTTTGGGAAAACCCCAAAGGAGGGCCCCGGAGTGATACAAGAAATAGGCTATGATTGTGTAGCTGATATCTGGAGTCTAGGTACATATTTTCTCCCTTTATAAACAAGATAACAGGAAGCTGATATCTGGAGTCTAGGTACATATTTACTCTCTTTATATACAAGATAAATGGTAGCTGATATCTGGAGTCTAGGTACATATTTTCTCCCTTTATATACAAGATAAAAGGTAGCTGATATCTGGAGTCTAGGTACATATTTTCTCCCTTTATATACAAGATAACAGGTAGCTGATATCTGGAGTCTAGGTACATATTTTCTCTCTTTATATACAAGATAACAGGAAGCTGATATCTGGAGTCTAGGTACATATTTTCTCCCTTTATATACAAGATAACAGGTAGCTGATATCTGGAGTCTAGGTACATATTTTCTCCCTTTATATACAAGATAAAAGGTAGCTGATATCTGGAATCTAGGTACATATTTTCTCCCTTTATATACAAGATAACAGGTAGCTGATATCTGGAGTCTATGTACATATTTTCTCCCTTTATATACAAGATAACAGGTAGCTGATATCTGGAGTCTAGGTACATATTTTCTCCCTTTATATACAAGATAAAAGGTAGCTGATATCTGGAATCTAGGTACATATTTTCTCCCTTTATATACAAGATAACAGGTAGCTGATATCTGGAGTCTATGTACATATTTTCTCCCTTTATATACAAGATAACAGGTAGCTGATATCTGGAGTCTAGGTACATATTTTCTCCCTTTATATACATGATAATAGAATCTTTTGTTTAACTTGATTACATAGTAATATATAACTTTTACTGTATTTCTAGTGAAAAAACTGTTATAGGTTTAGATAAAAATGATTCTAGGGAACAACAAGTTGATTCTAGAAATTGTGTAGGATATCAATATTTCTAGAAGTATAGAACTTGTGGTATTTAATGAAGTATAAGGCTAAATAATGAATGTTTTAGGTATAACTGCGTTAGAGATGGCTGAAGGAAAACCTCCTTATGGTGACATTCATCCTATGAGAGTAAGTTTTAGTTTTATTACAAACTTCCAGGGCCAAGTGATTTAAGATGTTGACTCAATTGGTTCCACAGCTGCGTGTTGAATTCCTACCAGGGACATTGGATATTTTTCATGTGAAGATAATATCCAGCTAGCTTGTAATAGGGTCAGGGTTCTACCGAAAATATTATGCACCAGTAAAGTCACCATATACTGAATGTTGGTGGTTTTACTCTGGTGTCTGCTCACAGGGACAATCAAGGCCTTTACAGCTAAAGATGTAAAGTTGCCATATGAATTTATGACCCCTATAGTGTTGCTGTGGACAAACAAAAATAAAGCTAAGATATAATGAAGGCTTAAGCTACATAGTGTGGTTATTGCAATTGAAGTTTTATTTTCAACCACCTTTTTATGTGTACATTGAAATATAACACTTAATTTTTATTGCCAGTTGTAATGTTTAGCTTACTAATTTACTTAGATACAAGTAATAATATTTTTACTTTTTCAGGCAGTATTTATGATATTCATTCACTATTTCAGGCAATATTTATGATATTCATTCACTATTTCATGCAATATTTAAAATTTTTATTCACTATTTCAGGCAATATTTATGATATCATTCAATATTTCATGAATATTTTAAATATTCATTCACTGTTACAGGCAATATTTATGATACCTACAAAACCACCACCATCATTTAGAAATCCTGATAAGTGGTCACCAGAGTTTATAGATTTTGTCTCCAAATGTCTCGTCAAAAACCCAGAGCAAAGAATTACTGCTCAAGAATTGTTGGAGGTAAGGGAGAGTAGATTGTTTACACACAACCTTCTGAATTTGTTTAATGGATTTGCCCTGTATTTATCTTGGTTTAGTCCATTCCAAGTTTATGGTATTTTAACAGTATAGAGTCTAGTCAGACTGGACATTGTGTGACTGCATTTATGTAGTCGAATTGCATGAATGTGGTCAGACAGCAGGGATGGGCTGACTGTCCTTGTTCTAATCTGGTGGCAAAGGCTAATCACTTACGGAAACAAGAGGTGTTTTGGAATTTAGCTGCAATAATGCCGGGTATATACCATCAGTATTGTGTCTGAGTCTGACCCAAACTATTCTCACTGATCCTTTTTTGCCTAATTTTGACGAATATCGGCGTCTTCCCAATTGACAAAAATGTTAAAATTTCTTCTGAAAATTTTAAAATTACCGAAAAAATTGTTATCTTTTTCCACAACCAAACCAATTTCTGACGGCAGATGCATTGAATTGATGCAAAAAAACGTAGAGTCATTGAAATTTGGCAGAAAATTGTTGCATCATTTCTGATTGATAAAGTGTTAATACAGTACCGGAAATATGATTACGGCATTAAGACTTCCTTTCACAACCACCTTGACACTTATAATTTGATCATGATAAAGCGACTGGTTGAAATTGTTCTACTTCCGAGCGCCGCAAAATCAAGTAAATAAATAAAGAAAACTGCAAGAATTATGTCATACAACTCAAAAAAAAAAAAGAAAAAAAAGAGACACATGAAAGATAGACCAAGCATTTTGACTGCTTTTGAAAGTGTAAAAAGAAAAAGGTTATCTACAGAAATAGAACTTGTGAATTCTGGGTCTGTCAGAAATACATCTGTATCTATTGAGTCAGCACTTGTTGTAGTTGATGAGCCTGTTGGATATGTTGGATATAAGTCAGTATCAGTTAATGAACTTGTTGAAACAAGTCAGTACTTTAAGTTGATAAGCCTATTGGAAATAAGTCAGTATCAGTTGATGAGCCTATTGGAAATAAGTCAGTATGTCCCTACGTTCAAGATCTATTTATGAAAATTTCATTTTTATGGATTTTTATTTTTTCCAATTTTTGGTTTCTACCTCATTAAAAATTCCCAATAAGAAAGGCAGGTATAGCTTTTAGAAACTATATAAAAGATGACAACTGAGAAAGTACTTATACTCAGAACAGAATAAACCTATTCTGCAAATTTAGCAGTTTTAAGGTTTAACAATAATAGATTCTAGCAAAGCTTTAAAAAAAATTGTTTAAATAACTTCTTTTGCCCATGAATGAGTTCATGTTATTTAAACATGACAATTTTTATTTGAAATGACAGCATGAGTTTGTACGGAACGCCCAGCCTGTAACAGTATTACAGAAGATGATTCTAGAGGCAAAGGAGATACAAGAAGAACAGACATTGAACACCCTGAATGGAGATGAATCTGTAAGTTATATACTGTTAACTTTGTACATTGTATCATAGAGAATCATAGGTGGAGAAAAAATGTAAATTGTGAACAGATATGAATCTGAAAGTATTATTCTGTTAACTTTGTACAGAAATCAGAACATCATTGTACAGAGTATCAATAGGTAGGAAAACATGTGAATTGTGAACAGAAATAAATCTGTAAGTAATGCATTTAAAATAACGTACACAGTGAGTATCACAGGGTTAAAAAAACCCAGTGAAGTCTTGATAGGATTTGAACCTTGTGTAATGGGTACACCATTTAGCATCCTTAACCACTGAATTAATCACTTGCTTTCACATTTTCTCGCCCTAACAGCGATCAGCTTCATACGATTTCATTCGCCCAGTCACTCCCTTGCTATATTGAAATTCATCTTAATGACTTTTACAGAGAACAATGTGAATTTGATTTTTGTGTCGCCTTGAAAAGGTGACATATAGGGGTTACTTTTGTCGGCGGTGTCGGCTGCGTCTGTGTCGTTGTCGACGTCGTTGTCGGCGTCCCCTAAAGCTTGTCCGGAGCATAACTCAGTCACTATAAGTCTGATTGACTTCAAACTTGGTATGCATGCTTCTTTCAATAACCCGAAGTGCAGTGCACAAGGACCGGTACTCTGCATTTCTTCCTAATTTTTGAGTTATTGCCCTTTGTTAATTTTCATACTTTATTTTTGTCCGGGCCATTTCTCCTAATGTATAAAAGCCATGGACTTGAAACTTCATAGGATGATAGGTCTCATTTAGAAGAAGTGCAGTGCACAAGAACTGGTACTCTGCATTTCTTATTTTTTGAGTTATTGCCCTTTGTTTATTTTCATTCTTTAAATTTGTCCGGGCCATTTCTCCTTTAGTATAAAAGCTATGGACTTGAAACTTCATAGGATGATAGATCTAATTATTAAGAAGTGCAGTGCACAAGAATCTGTACTCTGCATTTCTTAATTTTTGAGTTATGGCCCTTTGTTAATTTTCATACTTAATTTTTGTCCAGGCCATTTCTCCGAAAGTATAAAAGTTATGGACTTGAAACTTCATAGGATGATAGATCTCATTAAAAAGAAGTGCAGTGCATAAGAACTGATACTCTGCATTTCTTATTTTTGAGTTATTGCCCTTTGTTGATTTTCTTACTTTATTTTTGTCCTGGTCATTTCTCCTCAAGTATGAAAGCTATGGACTTGAAACATCATAGAATTTGATAAGAAGTGCAGTGTACAGAAACTGCTGCTCTGCACGTATTATTTTTTTAGTTATTGCCCTTTGTTATTTTTCATATTTCATTTTTGTCCTGGCCATTTCCCCTAAACTACATTGTTCACAAGGCGACACATCCGACTCGCGGAGTTCTAGTGAATTATATAACATAACACAGTTCCATCTTGGCACTTTATGTCTTAAGTTGTGAAAAAAAAAAGAAGTTTGACTGTATCACATTAGTTGAGAAAACTATTATCAATGTGTTTATATATTTGGTATGTTTGTACATCTAATATGTTCATGTGTTTAAATTTTAATTGATGTGTTTATGTATTCATGTGTATAACCGTTATATTCATGTGTTAGACCTATATATATTCATGTGTTTATATATATATATAGGGTGAGGATGATCTGGAGACAGGAGGAACTATGGTGAGAAATGATGAGGGAACTATGAAAGGATCTCAGTCAGGTAAGGATTCTCATGCTTGTATGTTAAGATCATTTTGTATATAATCATTGTAAGAATCAATAAATAAAAGATATTAAAAAAAATACAATTATGAAAATTTATAAATGGGAGCAATAATTGACAAGTTTATGTATATGTTATCATACAGGGACATTACAGTCAGAGAGTGGTACAGTTATATGTAACAGTGAGGCGTCCACGATGGTAGATTCTGACCTTGGTACGATGGTGATAAACGAGTCAGAAGAAGAAGATGACGGTACTATGAAACGTAAGCTAATTGTATTGTTATATTATGCGTTTATTGTCCTCCCCTTGTAACCATCGTAACTGCTTACAGTAAAGAGTGTCGCCAGTAGAGCCAGACCATGTTAGTCTGCCAGCTTAGCTGAAAAGGGAAAACATCCAAAGTTTGCTGGTTTGATCCTCAAAAGAGGCGTAATTTCTCTGTGGTATTTAATCATGGGTATTTAACCCTTTCACTGCCATAGGGACGGCATATGCCGTCCCTATTATTTTCGGCGTATTTGCCATATGGACGGCTTTTGCCGTTTCTATAATAATAATAATAATTATAATAATAATAATAATAATAATAATAATAATAATAAATATATAGATAATTATACCATCGACAATAATTATTATATACTAGCAGATTTGGAAACATATATAATTATTATAATACTAATAACAAATAATAATAATTATATTAATTAATAATATAGTAATTTCTTAGAAAACCTTCTGGCAAATAGGTGATCAATAAATAAATAACCCTCTGGCAGCGAAAGGGTTAATCTAATGGTCATTTTTTCTGGCACATCTGATTATGAAATCAAGTGGGATTGCAGTGTAATTGTTAGTTATGCACGATAGCCAGTTAAGTGGATAAATTGCCTAGCTTTGACAAACCCTCTGTTAAATCAGAGTAAAAAAAAACAACAGAGATACATACAATTATTGCAGTCGGGCGTGGCTCTATACTGCCTGATTAGGATATTTTGATATTGAAATAAGGCATGCAACATTCAAAAGTTCCATATTCATGGCAGAACAAATCTATTACATAAATGTAGCAGACAAAATTTTGATGATGAATTTTGTTCATCAATTTTTCATATAGTGATTTAAATATGTTAATTTTGTTGATCAGTGTGTAATACAGGTAAAGCTTCAATATCAAGTGGGATGTCCAGTCTCTCCAGTGTGTCCAGTTTTGTCAGTAAGAAAATAAACAAATGTAAATTTACCCCTCGCTCACTCTATATGCTGATGTACTTATATCCTTTGACTCTTTGAAATTTCTCATCGAGGGCCTTTTCTCATGATATTATAGAGAGGTCTGTTTGCCTTTGACTGGATAATTACATGTATATGAAAATGTGTAAAACAAAATTTCAGTAGAGTTTGGATAAATACTCTGCCAATTAGACTGTAACAGAAATTAGTAAAAATATGAAAATCTTATATATATATATATATATATATATATATAAATATTTCATTTAAAACATGAATATGTTCAGATGGAACATAAGAGAAACATAACTACTTTTCATTTGTAAGATTGAGAGAAAAAAGTGTTTCAAATATGTTGAAAAAAGCTTTTTTTTTAATAACTTGGTGATATAAGACAAAGGGCCCTTACTATTCTATAATGATATGAATAAAAACAATCTACCTACCTGATGAAATTTATTCAAATGTTTTCAAATTTTTCTTGATAGGTTTCTTAGCATGGTTTATATCTGATATAACACATCAAAATTTAACAAATTATTACATTTCTTATTCCAACTTGGAACTTTAATTTTGAACAAATTATTCCATATTTTATCCAAATTGACAACAAATTATTCCATTTCTTATTCCACCTTGACATTACATTATAAAGTTTAAACAAATCAACTTCCATGTATGATGGTATTTTGATACTTCTTTTAAAAAAGTAAAAACCGATTTGATCACATGGCTAAAAATAGTTTTCTCAGGAAATCAAAATTATAAAGAAAGTGAAACATACAGTTGTCATTAGATCTACATAAAAGAAATAAGGAGATCTGAACTTTCGTCAGATTGAAACAAATTATTCCATTTTTTATTCCACCTTGACATTGCATTAAGAATTTTTAACGAATTATTCCATTTTTTATTCCACCTTGACATTGCATTATAACTTTTTAACGAATTATTCTATTTCTTGACATTACATTTTAAATTTTCAATAAACATTATACCTGAACTTTGAATTTTTTTTTCTCTTTTCTACTTTACAGATCAATTTTTTTACTTTGATCGTTATGTACTCTTCTGTCATGGCATGATAAAGAAAGTATTATAAGAACTACTTTACCATCATACTCTAACTTTACTCAGAATTATTATGAGATATGCAACTTGATTAAATTGTCTTTGATCCCTTATCTTAAGATTATTGTTTTGAATGTTTGACTGTAAAATGAAAATGTTATTTTACCTATTACTAAAATTGTTGGTTAAAGTATTAAATTCCAATGATATTTGTGTGTTTCGGCTCACAATATCGATTTGTTACTTTGTATCGCTGTTAAAGCTGCTAAAAATGTTTTCCAGTCACATTGTAATTTTTGGATTTAACTCAATATAGGATTGGAGCAGTACCTCTAGACGCTTGCAGAAATCATTATCAGAAAATAGACAAATATCGTTTTTTTCGCCGATTTTTATTATTTTTCATTCATTACCGTACAGAAATCGGTGTGAAAAGATGAATGAGACTTTTTAAAGTTTATTTCGTTGGGTAAAAAGGCAAGATTTTAGCATTTTATCATTCAAGTGCCGTGTCCGGTATATACCGCAATACGGTATTTAGTGTGGTGCTCCAATCCTTTTTTAAGTCTCACTCGTAATTTTTTAGGAGTAAATGTCTGTCTCAACTTAGAGGATTGTTTAGTGCCACTGGAAATATGACCAAGTTACCTCAAATAACAATAGTACTAGTTTGATTAGGAAGGAGACTAAAGAGTGTTTTAAACAACCTTAAAGCAGTCATCATATTAATATAACTTAAACTATAATAGATATGTTTCGAATAAAATTGATTTTGGTTTATTATATAGTTACTTGAAACAGGACATGAAAAAACTACAGTTTGTCAAAATCGACCCTGATAATTAAGCACAAAGAAATATATATATTGATATCAGCATTGAAAGAACACCAACTTACATGACTGAAACTTGGTATTTTATTGTGTAGGAAATTATACAGCTACAAGTGGTTATACATGTATTATCATCATAAAGAATATTGTTCCAAGTTATATGACCTTGATATTGGTTATATAACTGTGTAAATAGCATATTTCAATTTACTTGTATAAGCAGCCGTATAACCATTAAAAAAAGCTTATCACCACGCCTTATTTCAGCATAATCAATTCTCTAATTAGAAAAAATATTTATCTATAAATTTACAGGAGCTGTATATATAGATAATATAAATGTTTATATAATTGTCTAATGAAAATTGATGTTACATACATGCAGTCTATTATATAACAGTTTGGTTTATTTTATTGTACAGGACATAGTACAGCTACAGGGGGTAAGGAGAAATATCGTCCGTCCTATCTTGATCATTTTGAGAAGAAAGAGCAGGAATCTCAAGTACAGCGTGCACAACCTCCGGCCCCAGCCCCGCAACCAGTGCCACAAAAACAAGTTACCCCACCCCATCACTTCCAGAGGTCACTTATAGATGGAGACTTTGAATTTGTAAGTAAAATATAGTTTTCGTTGGTTCCATACTGTTGTTTCTAATGTTCATCTTGGTTTTTTCCATGGGCTAGTCTGCACATTAGTTCCAGTTTGTTCAAGCTGTAAAATGTTGTTTAATTTTTAATATTTTATATCAAAGTCCCTTTACAGTAGGCATTTGCTAGACAAGTCCATTTTATATATTGTACATTAAAGAACAAGCATCACAAAAGTGTTGGTGTGACTTTAAACCCAGCAAAAACAAACAATATTATACGAACACATTTTGATAATATTTAAGCCAGTTATTTTGATATGATTATATTTTTAGTTACGCAACTTGGCATATGAAGACCTAGAGAGACGGCTCGCCGACCTTGACCCAGAAATGGAGCGTGAGATAGATGAGCTGAGAGCGAGATTTCAAGCTAAACGACAACCTATCCTGGAGGCAATAGACGCTAAAAAGAAACGACAACAAAACTTTTAGCAGGATTAGAATTGTCTCGTCATGTGTAAATGTTACAATAATGTTTTAAAGTGGCACGCTTCCGAATTAATGAACAATTTTTGTAAAAAATCACAAAGTTAGAAAAAATAAATAAATTGAAAAAATTGAAAAACATTACAATCAAATTTGCCATCTGCATGTTTTCAGTGTCTATTCTAGGAGGGGGGATTTCGGAGATTCACTCATATTTTTGAGAATTTCCCCCTTTTTTTTTCAGAGGCAGGGGGAAATTTTACATAGTGAAAGAAGAAAAAAAAGGTCAACAAATCTAATTAATTCTCACTTTTCGATAAAAATCCTCCCTTTTTTTCGAATCCTAGAATAGACACTGTTCTTTAATGCAAAATGTGTTTAAATTATTTATATTTTCATTGCTATGTATTTTTACCCTTTTACTAATAAAGTTAGGGTGATTTCTGTATATTTTGGCAAGTTACAAGTAATTTCTGTGTATAGTTATTGTTTATGGCTAGACTAAATCACTTTTAATATATATAAATACACTTGACTAAATTTGTACTAAACAGAAGAATGCTTTTATTTCAAAATTGTCATGAAAAAATTGGTACAAAAATGGAGGCAGGCTGCTTTAATTTTTCATGTGTTCATATCGTTTATAAGGAAACTATTCATCTGTAATATTTGAGTCATTTCATAATGATAGAACAATAGTGAGGAAAGTTCTGTGTGCAAACATAACCAACCTTTTTTTAGCTCACCTGAGCTTGCTCAGGGTGAGCTTTTAGGATCGGTGAATGTCCGTCGTCCGTCCGGCCGTCCACAATTGCTTGTGAACACTCTAGCGGTCGCATTTTTGCCTCAATCATCATCAAACTTGGTCAGGATGCTTATCTAGTTGAAAGCTCGGATGAGTTCGTACATGGGTCATCTCGGATGAAAAACTAGGTCACAAGAGCTAAAAATAGAAAAACCTTGTGAACACTCTAGAGGTCACATTTTTGACCCAATCATCATCAAACTTGGTCAGGATGTTTGTCTAGGTGATAGCTCGGATGAGTTCGAACATGGGTCATCTCGGATGAAAAAGTAGGTCACAGGAGCTATAAATAGAAAAACCTTGTGAACACTCTAGTGGTCACATTTTTGAACCAATCATCATCAAACTTGGTCAGAATGCTTGTCTAGTCAATTGCTTGGATGAGTTCGAACATGGGTCATCTCTGATGAAAAACTAGGTCACAGGAGCTAAAAATAGAAAAACCTTGTGAACACTCTAGTGGTCACATTTTTGACCCAATCATCATCAAACTTTGTCAGGATGCTTGTTTAAATAATAGCTCAGATGAGTTCGAATATGGGTCATCTCGGATGAAAAACTAGGTCACCGGAGCTATAAATAGAAAAACCTTGTTAACACTCTAGCGGTCACATTTTTGCATCAGTCATCATCAAACTTGGTCAAAATGTTTGTCTATGTGATAGTTTGGATGAGTTTGAACATGGGTTATTTCGGATGAAAAAGTAGGTCACCGGAGCTAAAAATAGAAAAACCTTGTTAACACTCTAGTGGTCACAATTTTGACTCAATTGTCATCAAACTTGGTCAGGAAACTTGAATAGGTCATTGCTTGGAATAAATCGAACATGGGACATCTCGGATGAAAAACTAGGTCACATGAGCTAAAAAATAGAAAAATCTTGTTAACACTCTAGTGGCTACTGTTGTGATCCAAATATTCTGTTAATTGGTCTGAAAGTTTTTTTTGATGATTTCTAAGTCAAGATCAAACATGGGTCATCTTGGATGAAAAACTAGGTCACACCGCCCAAATATGGAAAAACCTTGTTAACATTCTAGTGGTCACATTTTCGACTCGATTATCATCAAACTTGGTCAGGATGCTTGTCTAGGTAATTGCTTGGATTAGTTCGAAATCGCATGTGAAACTAGGTCACCGGAGCTAAAAATAAAAAAATCTTGTTAACACTCTAGTTGCTACTGTTTTGATCCAAGTATCCTGGAAATTGGTCTGAAAGTTTGTTTTGATGATTTCTAGGTCAAGTTTGAATATGTGTCACCTGGGTAAAAAACTAGGTCGCACTGCTCAAATATGGATAATCCTTGTTAACACTGTAGTGGTCACATTTTTGACTCACCTGTCATGAGACTTGGTCAGAATGCTTGTCTAGGTAATTGTTTGGATGAGTTTGATAATTCAGGTGAGCGATCTAGGGCCATCATGGCCCTCTTGTTTGTATATATGCTCTTATTTAACCCTTGACCTGATGAAAAAAAAGTTATATGAATTTGCCTAGATTAGAGTTTAAGACAGTCCATTAAAAGTTGAAGGGCAATAAATATCAAAATACACAAAATTGGGCTACAAATAGTATAGAGTCTGGTCAGAGTGCATGGAAGTACATGTTTGCCTGGCTCTTTACTGGTGGCAAAAGTTTCTCACTTTCAGATCTCACAGGGGAAGTGTTAAGATGATAGGATATTGGGGGGTCATGTTTATCTGTTTAAATGGGTATGGTTGGTTTTTTTTAGCTAAAAACCGGTTAGAAAATTCAATAACCGGTAATTGAGGTTAGTATTTGACTAATGAGCGGAAAAGTTTTGAATTGATTCTAAATATTACCTTAGTTTTTTATGACAAGATATGACAATTGTTTTTATTTTAGTTGTACTCAACAATGTATTTTTTTGGATCTGATCGAATACGGTACAATTCTAGCAGAAAAATAGTTACTCCATATTCAGATATGTATTGTAATCATTTTGAGTACAACAAAATATGAACAAAATGGAATATCTTGTCATAAAGAAACATAGTTTATGTTGAAAATCTTATTTCTTATAATTTTATAAGTACATTCGGTCAAACGATTTACACATTATTACATGGCCGTTTAAACAGTTAACCAGGACACCTCTAATAAAATGGATTAGAGACACAGTGTTTATTGTCATAGTAATTATTCTTTCAGAGTTTATCTTTAAACATTAAATACAGTGCATCCTCTTTAGAGCAATAATCTCTGTACAACAACAGATTTAAATCATCCAAACTAAGATTTATAACTGAATTTAACCTGTCTATAGCAACCGCAAAAATATTTGCTCACCAAAGGACATTGCTTTATAGAGGTCATACTGTTTTGATTAATGATCTGATACTGGTTCAGTGTTAAAATATTTTTTGTCAAGGGGGAAAAATACTATAAAAATTTTACCTTCATATTGATTGTGTTAACATTTTTAACATGTAATTGTTTGCGTAATGATAATTCATTATGATATAAGTTACATCAGGATTTAAATCAAACAAAACAGATGACAATTTACATATATTGCTATTTATTTTACTGTTATTTGCCTTTGTTCTGTTTTCTTCTATTTTAAAAGCTAGATAAAATTTGTTTTATCTATTTGATTTAACACTAGTGTCTGCATTTTATATTAATTGTGTGAATTTTGTCATAGTAATTGAATTGTAAATATTGTTAACTTTATGAAGATTATGGTGGAGAAGTCAGTGCCAGCTGGTGGAGATTGAACTCTTATTGTTGGAAAATTTACTTGTATATGATGGAGCCTCTACCAACAGCTGGTGTAGACTCTATGAACAGCTGGAATAACTAATGGACACTCTTCTAATTGTTGGTGGAGACTCTACCAGCAGTTAGAGGAGACAATTTACAGCCAGTGGAGAGAGACTACCAATACTAGTGGAGACTACCAAAAAGCTATTGGAGACTCCACTTATTGCTGGTGGAGGTTACTGCATGATACTGGAGATTCTGCCATAGCTAGTGGAGAAATAATACTGTCATTAGTTGAAGTTCAAGTGGAGATTGTTGTGGAGATAGTACTGGTACTAATATGTTGTTATGGTGCTCCCAATAATTGTCATTGTACATACAGATTTTAATACAAGTAGTGTTTATAAAACACAAACATAACCATGTTTTAATTATGTAACAGTCTCCCTTAGTACATGCGTACCACTGGTCATGATAATTTATAGTATTAAAGGTCTTAAAGCTATAATTGCCTGTATGTAATCACTGGAATGTATGTAGTTATTTTTATCTTGGAAAAAAAATAAAATAAAAAAAGGAGCTAAACTTGAAGGATTTCTGATAAAGAAGATGGTGTATTCATGAAGTCAATGCCAAATGAAATTTAGATATTTTGTTAGCAAATGTTAATGGTCATTCTGTTGAACATGTACAATTTTGTTGACAAATTCTCTTGATGTTTTTGTCTGGTATCTGGAATACCAGGGTTCCAAATTTTTTTTTAGAAGTTTTATGCAATGAAAATAGACGGGGAAATTCGGGACCAGAAAAAAACATCTATTTTACTAAGGATTCTGGTTTAGTGGTGATCTGGGTTCATATCATTTGTCTTGAATAACACTGTTAAATTGTCAATCATGTGATATTAAAATTGAAAAAAGTAGCCAAAACAACTTCTTTCTTTTCTTCTGATGATGAAAATATGTAACTATGAAAAATCTTATTTAAAATTTTTGATTTTAGTTTAGAAAAGGGAGGTAACTTGGTTTTTGATGTATTAAGGATTTTAAAAGGGGAGGTACCTTTGATATTCAAATCACATTAGTGGATTATTTATTTCTTATAACTTAATTTTTATTTAGTTTCTATATTTCCAACTTGTCTTTAGAAAACATATTTTATCATATTTTGTAGATCTCATGTATTAGGACTATAAAATACATCTTATTCTTAACTTTATCTTATATCTGTAGATTGTTTTAGTTACATTGTATTTTCTAGTTCACACACACACAAAAAATCACAAAGGTTTTATGTATTTTTCCTTAACAATAGACTGAATGTCAATTTTGTTGGTTACCAGTGTAGTAAAAGTTGGAAAATTGTTCTAAGTGAGATAGATCCAACATGTGTTTGTTGAATGTGACCTACATATGTGTGTAGAATGCAATCCTTCATGTGTTGAGAAAAGCCTTTTACATAACATATGTGTAGAAAATACATCCTACATATGTGTCAATAATACCTTCAACATATGTGTGGAGAATTTATCCTACACTGATGTTGTATGTAGACGTTTGAAATTTGTGTAACTTTTATTAATCAATATGTTTTTGTTCATTCTATCATATATCATGTATCATCTAGCTATACATTGTCATTTGTGTAATTAAAAACTCATTCTCATATTTCTATGCTCCCTGAAGAAGTTTTCTGTTGAGTATTATAGTTGGCAGTTTGTCTTTCCTCCTGGAGGGATTCTTTCATGTGAGGAATTTATCCAGCTAGTTAATGGAAGATCAGTTGTTCTATTTGGGTGCCAGCTTGTGCCTGAATTATTACATTAAGGTCTTACGAAGTCTATTTGAAATACCCTGAATGTATGTAGGTGCACCTGTGATCTGTCTACACTAGTTTTGCTGGGTCATTGCCATAATTAGTACATTCTCAGTGTCTGTTAATTAACTTACAAACTCCACTAAAAAATGTTAGAAAACTGTTTTTCTCATAGCAACCTTATTTATTGGCTGGTATCGAAGATATTTGATGTGTCAATACCCTATGTAGATTTTAAACAATGAGTATGAACCTCATATCAAATGGGTCACTAAATCCAAAAATAGATTTTTTTCTATATTGTTTTTCAATATGGTAAAGCCATGTTTTAGATTTGTCATAGCAACATCAGGGACTACCCATCAATGCTTAGTTTTATTCATGTTTTAGTTTTGATTGTATCACCCAGAATAATTGACATCACAATTTTGCATGTTTCCTTAGTGATTCCTGAATTATACATTCATTATTATATATGCAACACTATATAGAGAGTATTTTTTATTTTCAATGATAATAAAGTTGAAAAATAAAACATTGCTTGGTGGTTTTTTTTGTCCCAAAAATTCTGTACAAGTTTATTGTATTTATATTCAAGTATTAATGTTTCAATCTGATTTGAAGGGAACTAATGTCTTTGTGATACTATTAGCTTTATGTACAGGCTTAATAGGCTTGATACTTAAATATACAGGCCACATTATAGCAATGTGAAGACTGTTTTAGTTGTGTGTATATGCCATTCTAGCCATGTCTGTGTGTATGTGTCATTCTAGCCATCTGCATGTGCCATTCTAGCCATGTGTTTGTGCCATTCTAGCTGTGTTTGTGCCATTCTAGCTATGTGTATGTCCCCATTCTAGTCATGTGTATGTGTCATTCTAGTCATGTGTATGTGCCATTCTAACTGTGTTTGTGCCATTTTAGCTATGTGTATGTCCCATTCTAGCCATGTATTGGTGTCATTCTAGTCAGGTGTATGTGTCATTCTAGCTTTGTGTATGTGTCATTTTAGCTATGTGTATGCCCCATTCTAGCCATGTGTGTGTCCCATTCTAGCCATGTGTATGTGCCATTCTAAAAATGTGTTTGTCTCAATTTAGCTATGTGTATGTTCCATTCTAGCTATGTGTTTGTCCCCATTCTAGCCATGTGTTTGTCCCCATTCTAGCCATGTGTATGTATTATTCTAGCTATGTGTATGTGTCATTCTAGCCATGTATTGGTGTCATTCTAGTCATGTATTGGTGTCATTCTAGTCAGGTGTATATGTCATTCTAGTCATTTATTGGTGTCATTCTAGCCATGTATTGGTGTCATTCTAGCCATGTATTGGTGTCATTCTAGTCAGGTGTATATGTCATTCTAGTCATGTGTATGTCTCATTCTAGTCATGTGTATGTCCTATTCTAGGTACATAATTATATGTGTTTGTCTATTCTAACTATGTGCAGGCTCATTCTACCTATGTGTACATCACACAGTTTCCATGGAGTAAAACATTAATAAATTTCAAGTTAATCTTATAAGAACAACCTTAAAGAATGATGTCCATGTTCATGTCTATACTATCTCAATCCCTAAATGCTGGTTCATTCTTTTAAAGACACATTAAGCCTCTTGTTATTATGTGGAAAGGGCAATGTTGTACCAACAGATTTAGAACATGTTATGTGCTTGTCACCTGAAGAAAATAGAGCTAAATGTCCAATGATTTATTTTTGATGGGGGAGGCTCTTAACAGGGAACTGAATATTAAAAGCTTTTGAAAAATCAAAGTCTTAGTATTTTATACTAAATGGGCCTTTAAACCATTTGTTCAAAATGTTCACTGTTTTATTTCATTTCATTTTTTTTTCTAAATTATTTTTTTTTCAATTTCACAATGAATCACACAGATCTAGGCCTTTAAATGAAATTAATTAATGTAGACCATTTAAAATGTATTGAACTGTTTGAAACAGCGTAAAAAGATCTATTTAAATAAATTTTATAACCTGTATAGGAGATATTATATGATAGGTATATCAATAAATTCTGTCATACAGGCTAATTAATCTTGACACTTAAATCGAATATGGGGAATTACCCCCGTAACACAGTCGACAAAAGAGAACTCTTGCACGAGATTTATTACCTCCCCTGTCGTTAAGGCCGCTACATTACATGTATACTTTTAGAAGTTTATATTATCTTAGTATAGTCGTTAAAATTCCGATTATTTTAGTTTACTTTCACGACGGATATTATTTGTATTGACAAACTATTGAGAATGAACTGTTTACCGCGGATAAATGACGGATAGCTGACTGTTTAGTGCGAAAAACAAACATTAAACCTAATATTTGAGGAGTATCAATTTATAAAGGTAGGAAAACTGATTGATTTAACTTTTTTGAAAGTACAAATGTATCTTTATGTTAGTCGTTACATGGCAAAACATTCGGATAACTTTTGTTTTAATGTAATTGTTGTTACATAAATAATCAGGAGTTAAACTGCTAGAAAATTAATAAAGGTATTTGAACAGAAAATTGATTGGCAAAAATGTATTTTACCGGCATTTAAATGTTAAGTTTAGATTGCTATGTAGATAACAGAGTTGTGTACGGGTTATAATCTCTTAAATTCTTCCTTCATGACATATGCCAGGTGATTTGTTTATTAAAACATTAATTACCGTATTGTTCTACGTGTGTAAGAGAACTAGGATAGGTAAGTAACTCGCTCCTAAATTTATTACCTTTTAAAATGAAGAAACACTCTGTTTCAAGATAAAAATTAACAACTTTAAAAACTTAAAATTGTTTAATCTGTGTTTGTTAGATACAGAAAAGATAAACTACTTTTAAATTCGATAAGTTGAAACATGTAATAGTACCGTATATACAAAACACCTTTAAAGTTTCAATTGTGTATAAACTTACACCGTACGTTCAATTTGTGTCACTTGTGGTCTTTTGTTTTCTAGATTATCCTTTCAGAAAAAAATGATACCATTTAAGTACGACCACCTAACGGGCATTATAAAGAAATGAAAAATTAACAAGATATAACAGTTATATGCCTTAAGATACGCCTGCATGCAAAATTTAATTAAAAAATTACCATAGTTTTACGAGTTATATGGTCACTTTTCTGAAACTAGAATGGTTCATTTTTAGAAATAAGAGAACACTATTTAAAGTGATATATACCATAAGGTGTAGGTCTAGACTAATAACCTCTGTGCAAAATTTCAGATCGTTCGGAATCGCTACCTACGTCTTTCCAGAATAATAATTCTACTTGCGAAAAATGAACCGAAATTCAAATGGGGATAAGAGTAACACAAAAATACAATTTATTTCTGAGTACATACATGTATTTTTCTTTATTATCTTTTGTGCATCTTTCTGTTTAAAGTGCCCCAGTTGATTTATGTGAGAAATTAAAATTTTATGTTTTAAGGCTTTTTGGACCTCAGAGGAGTTCCGTTTAAACGTAAAACGGTACCAAGAAAAATGAGGTTTGGAGCAAAATAATTTGGAATAAAATACCTTGGTAGTTTGAGAAGATCTTAAGAAAGAGGGTAGTACAGTTGTTTCACTGGCATTTGGTTCATGTCATGTCAATGATAATAAAAATATGGAGTAACTATATTTGTATATATACAACATGTAGGCTATATGTCAGATCAAACTAACTGATTTTAAATAATTTGATTTGTGTTTGTACCTGTTTTGGTTGTTACTTTACTGACATTACGCCTGTTAGGTTTAGAGTGTTTTGGTCGTTACTTAACGTCTGTTAGTTTTAGAAAATTTCGGTCGTTACTTTACGTCTGCTAGATTTAGAGGATTTGGTGGTTACTTTACGTCTGTTTGGTTCATTAAAATTCTGTCATTTGACAGCTAGTTTTAGAGGGATCCGTTGCTTAATTGAGTTTGGACTTTCAGTCTGTTCGACTAAGAGGGTTTCGGTAAAGTTAGGTGGACAATTGAGATACCATGTTTCCGTGAACAATTTATTCTTCACATTTTTTTGTCAATTTGGCAGGCTGAATCAGCGGAATTATGACTAATATAGTTATTCGAATTAATTGATAAAAAAAACTAAATATTGCTTTATAAGAGTTTGTCATGTATATAAATATTTGCAGTTGTGACGGTCAAGCTTACTGACCTCGTCACCGAGATTATATATTATAATCTCACTTTCCCATGATATAACTGGCATTGTATCAACTTGTGCAATTTGCAACTGGGTACGTGTAAGTCTTGTTAACAATAAATCACCCCACAATAGTCCAGGCTATAGTACACAACGGTTATTATATTTCTAAAACAGCATGCGGATTCCCTTCGCTCATTGTCCATAGCATGAAGAATTGAACCTCGATATTTTAACGTAGTATGACGGAAATGGCTGAAACATCACGAGTCCTCACTCATGCCCTTATACCCTTTTTCCAAATCAAACTTATGACAATCTCGAGAAGAGCGATCAAGATCTTTAAATTTGTAGTTTAATTCATTTAAAGACCTAGCAAGTATATGTAATTATATATTTTGATATAAACGAAATATATGTCATCTAAAAGAAAATCTAAAGTACTTAATCAACGAAATCTTGCTATAATCCGCTAGGATTAACTTTGTACAATATTACATCGGATTTGCGCAACCGAATTTCTCCTGAATAAAACGTTTCGAGATTACATGCACCATGTCGGGGAAATGACAATACATACTGGAGATAGGTTACAAACAAAATAATACGTCAGATTATGCAATGTTTTATTCAAATCCAAAGTCCGCTTTAAAGATCCCGAGATTTATTTCAAGGTTTCGATATAAATATATGGGGACTGGACGCATGTATATAGATATAATTGACGAATTTAATATTATTGTTGTGATTTTTACGCTTATATAAAAAAAACTATCGCACGAGGTATTGTTATTTTCTACATCATATGGGTATAAACAACGAAAGAAGTATTCTAAAATAGTAGCAATAGTTATTAATAGTCTATCTGATAACAGACTATATGCCAATTCCCCATACGTATCTAATTCATTTACCTATCAAAAGTAATCTAAAATATGTTCAAACATAATTTGATACTCTGTAAACACGTTCAGGTTTCAAACACAGTTGGCGTAACCTCGAATACGATCAGACAAAAGCAGTTTAAAATATTGAACAAAATACGCGCTAATTAATAATTTGATCACGTAAACTGATATACGGGGTATTTAAGCCTACATTCATACTATCTAGTCATTCGATAAATACTCGTTTTATTCGTTCAATGCATTTATAGTTTGCTTTGGAAATGTGCTGGTATATAAATATATTTTAATTGTATCAATAATTTCAGGTGACAAAAAGCGTTAAGCGACCATGAGCAACAAGAAAAAAGAAGACGAAGTGATACCTGCCATGGGCCCGGGGAGTAAGATAAGCGCTTTAGCCGCGCCCCTGCGACGTTTCATGATACGACAGGGTAAAGCTGTTATCATGAATTTTTCCACAGCTAGTATGAAGACATTGCCTTTAGAGATATGGGCCAATGAAGAGATACAACAGAACGCGGTGGAACTGAGAGCGGAGAGCAACAGATTGAAGAAGCTGCCCAAACAAGTCTCCGATCTTGAAGCGTTAGAAACACTAACCGTACAGAACAACGCTCTGGGTGCACTTCCGGCCACCATTTTCAAAATGAAGAACTTGATTACTTTAAACGCCGAAAACAACAGCATAAAAAGTATCCCGGCTTCTATAAATAAAGCGCCTGTTATAAAATATCTACATCTGTCGAACAATAAGATTAAAGCTCTCCCGAAAACAATCAACAAATCAACAACCCTGGAGCTTGTCGACGTATCACACAACGTCATCCGCTCAGTGAAGAAGAACATCTATGAGCTGAAGGCTAAACTTGTTCTAACCCATAACAGACTCGGTGAGCTTCCGGATGCCTCCGTAAAGAGTCCATGTCTACGGGTTTTAGACGTGTCCCATAACCAGATAGCCCATATACCAGACAACATTAACAATGTTGTGACCTTGACCTGGCTTGACCTTTCACACAATGACCTTGAAGACTTGCCACGGGAACTAGGGCTACTGAAGTATCTTCACTCACTGAACGTCAGCCATAACAAGATCGTGTCTTTACCCGACGAGGTAAGTTACATTTCATTATAATTTCACAATACTGCTTTTATGGTGGCATAAAACTTCTTGGTATTCTAGGTGAAGTTAGGTTACGTCACAGTCAGTCATTACGCACAACAACTGCTAATGGGAAGAGACATTCATAAGTTTTCATTTAAATGCAATATCCGGTTACTACCAAAATGTCAGACCTGATACATGTATTGATATTTTTCTCTAATTCTCTAAATCAATATTTCATAAAATCGCCATCTTTCAGTTTGCGACAAATACATTGTATTTATAAAGTGCCATAAGTAATATAATGCAGTAAAGCTATATTATACTTATGTCTGTGTTAGTATTGTAAGTTGGGTGTTTTCTGTATGTTTATTTTCACGTCATATGGGGGATTGTCCAAGGTATTCCAAATAATGAATGGTTTAAAGAATGGCTTACTTAAAGTTATTAAATTATTGGACTTCTTCTGGCTGTTATACACTGAATTGGAAACATAAACTTCTTAATTTAAATGATCACTTAAGAAGAATAAAAGCTAATCCAGTCACCAGCTATTGTTATATAATGACTTTATATATTATTTTGACCGATTATCTTGTCTTCACCGTATGTAATCAAGCTTTATGGTTTCGTTATCGACTTTTAAATTCAAAGTTTTCATCTGTGTTTCTTTTTTTCTCACTTTTTCTTTTTTAATTATTTTTTATCTTTTAAATTAAGGCGAATATATTGTTAACAAACCTACCAACCTCAATAAAATTTTAATGTAAACTTGACTACGATAAACGAAAATTAGCATCTTTCATTATATAGAGGATATTTGTTTAGTTCAGTGTAAGATCGGAATATATTTCACCGAGTGGGCACCAAAAGTTATATTTCACGAGTGGCGCAGCCACGAGTGAAATATGAACTTTTGGTGTTCACAAGGTGAAATATATTTCGATCTTACACTAAACTAAACAAATTTCTTTTTATTACATGCAAAAAAAAAACGTTTAAAAAGACATTTTAAGCTAATACTGAATGAAAAGCGCGCCAAATAATAATACAACGTGACGTCATTTACGACGTCACGTCCTTAAGTTGGTACCCAGTACTGTGCACGCTGGTATTTCACTGAAACAACGTAAGGGGCTTAAATTTAAAACAGTGAAATTATCAAATTCATAATTTCACTGTTTCAAACAGTGAAATTACCAGTTTTAATTCACTGATATATTTCTATAAACCATCGAAAAACATGTAATAAATTTCAAGAAAATTTCTTATCAGTGTGACCCAGATGTTTTTTTGCCTTGTATAAGTAAAAGAACAAAACTGAGGGTAATACTGGTTTTTTTAATTTAATTTGTAGTGGACACTATTTATAGTTTACAGGTTACAAAGTACATCTCCTTATCAAACATTATATATTATACATTGTACAACATAAACATTATATTGCATTAATTAAGTTACATTACTGTTACATCACAGTTACATTACATTTCCATTACATTTACATCACATCTACATCACATTTACATCACATTTACATCACATCTACATCACATCTACCAAGCCCAATTGTGGATCAGACTCTGTAAATATACTAGCACCTCTGTCACTCACACCTGTCTCACTGTGCTGTTAATTATGAAATACCAATTCCTCAATCCAAATTCTTATTAATAATATAAAACCAACACATTTACATGTCACAATGACCAACAACTTTTTTAACACAAAGAATGACCTTAAGTGACCCTAACTTTAGGAGGGAAACGTTATGGTTAAGCAAATAGCAAATGTGATCAAGGGGACATAATTACACAAAGTAAAAATTAAAATTAAACAAGGCCAACAAAGTTACCTTTCTTAAAAAATAGCAAAAACCTTAAAAATAGCACTTGGTTACATCAGTTAGACATGGATTCTTCTGAATGTAAATTACAATGGATAACGACAATTACTATATGATTGATTGTTCACTATAATGTTCTTTTATGAAAAAAAGGAAAAAATATTATTGTTTATTATTATTATCGTTATTATTATTATTATTATTAATAATGCATGTACATGTACATATATTTCGGCTTTATTCTACAAGTTTCACATATTTTATGTTACAGGTAACCACGTTGGAGTATGCGCTGACTTATCTACGAGCCGGGCACAATCAAATTAAAAACCTGCCGGAGGACATTCATAAACTACAACGGTAAACAGTAAAACATGCTATAAAACACCGAGATAGCTTGTACACTTGTAATTTGATCCATTTTTAACTTGCAGTAAAAAATGAACATAAATTTTTGTTGTTAAATTGTTTATATATTTCTGTAATGACGAACCAATCAGCGAAATGAGTAAGGCGGTTTTTTTAGTAATAATTCAGGAAGGTTGATGTAACCTAGCATGACTGTTTGATGGATTTATTGAAGTATTAGACATTCATCACCTTTTTTTTCGCTAAATAAACACGCATATTCAGGCACTGATAAACAACGAAAAATACAATAAATGCAAAACTTATTTCCTTTTTCTACTTTCAGGTTGCAAGTTTTATCAATGTGTGACAACCAAATAGAGCAAGTCCCTGGCAAATTTTACGAACTCAAAGTCGTCAAGGATCTTGACCTGTCCGGAAATAAATTGTCCACAGCTAATGGAATGAGTCGGTTGAAAACTGTGGAAACGCTTAATCTTTCCAACAACGGCCTCACGGAGCTTCCGGAAGATATCAACCAGCTCAAATCCTTGGTTACCTTGGATATTTCCTTAAACCAGATAAAACAGTTACCGGATACATTGAACAAAATCCCTACCCTGAAGACGCTTAATGTGGCCGACAATCGTCTGAGTCAGATACCGGAAATGCTTGGTGAGAACCAGCTGCTTACGTCTTTGGATGTAAGCAATAATCGTATCCAAGGACTTCCGCAAGACATGAAACGTCTGCGGAGCTTAGAGACATTGAAAGTTGCAGGGAACCAAATATCAGCGTTACCAAAATCTTTAGATTCTTTGAGATTTCTATTCACTTTGGACGTTTCTAAGAACGCTCTTACTGACTTTATCATGCCAAAAACATTAACAAGTATAAGTATCGCCGGCAACCCACTCTTCCTCCCCTCACAGGACCCAAAATCTGTAATCACTGTGCTCGGAGAGCGGGATTACGCCGCCAACATGGTCTTTCTTGATGCATCTAGTTTAAAACTAGACGAGGTCCCGTTAAGTCTCTGCCACATGAAAATGCTTAAAACACTCAAGTTAGCTCACAACGTGATTAAAGAAATTCCTGAAGAGTTGACTAAACTCAGAGCTATTGAAAACCTTGACCTTAGTGACAACGATATTGGCGCATTGCCCGATGAAATCCGAAACATGCAAAACTTACGTGTTCTGGACATTTCACAGAACAGATTAAGCGAGTTCTGTGAAGGACTGACACAGCTGCATAACCTTGAACGGCTTAATATTAGCTTTAACAACCTTGTTGAACTTCCGGAGAACTTCGGCGAGCTCCACAAGCTTATCTGGTTAGATATCAGTAATAATGAGCTAATGATGCTACCGGAAGACCGCTGGGATGTCCTCGCCTCAATGCTGGAATTAAACATCTCAAAGAATCACGTGCACACCGTACCAATGGATCTACCATACCTGTACAGAATCAAAGTACTGAAGGCACAAACCAACGACCTTACAGCTATACCGTCAGATATCGTGAAGATGACAAGTTTGGAGGTGTTGGACTTAAAGGACAACTTACTTGAGACGCTGCCGGACTCGGTGTGCAAACTTCCGGCACTGATGGAACTAGACGTTTCAGACAACAAGTTGAAGTCTTTCCCTGGCAAGTTGGAACAGCTTAAACAGAGGTGTACTATCAGTACAGATAATCAGTCCTCATACAAACAGAGAGACCCTCCAGACTTCCTTAAGGCAGGCGAGGCTCAGACACAAAACAAGGAAGAAAAGAAGGAGGAATAAGACTAGACCGGATATCCGTTTAGTATACAACTGTTCTGAAAATATGAAGCTGTTGACGTAACGGTCGGTCAGCGACATAAAACTTTACGTAACTGCATGGTGACGCAAATGATAAGTAATGATCCAAAAGGACATACACTTCTGTGAACAAAGTCGGCATTGGTAAATTACTCTGAAGACGTTTTTTTTTGTTGCGTTGTAAATGACGTAATGTCTTGTATATCGGACATTGTGATACAAATGTCACGGATGAAATTATTTTATAAGTTAACATTTATTTGTTTCATAGATAGTTTTCTTTTATCAAAAGCATGCATAATGTTTTGTTAATCACATTATTTCTACGTGCATAATAATTAACTACTTTTTTTTGCTGCACTTTTATTCACATATTGGCCAACGATACGTTCTATCCGCATTTCTTAAGTCTTTTAATAATTCAATATGTGGTATTTTATACCATACGTAAGTAGTACATAATACTGTACAAATAGAGAGGGAGAGTGGGACAAAACAAATCTTCTAGGAAAACCGATTCGTTCTTCAAATGTTACAAAGTAAACATTATTACGATACGTTATTAAGAATTCCTAAAACCAAGAAATTAGTGCTGATTCTTTCTTAAGATATTCTACAGGTTAAAAATAAGTCAATAAATTGTTGTCAAATCATGGTACATGTATGTCAATGTCATTTTTTACAAGATGTTGTATATAGGAGGCATGCATTGTACATTGTTATATTGTTAAAAGCTGTCTCGAGTAATGGTGCAATAATAATCACGTGATGTACGAGATATAAGATGTAAAGCATGCATAATGATAGCTTCTTAGTGCTGGTATACATGAATATCTAGGTAAAACAATAAACCAAAGATAGTCGCAGTATTTATAAATAGGTCAAAGGTTATAGGATAGATTACTTCCGTCTAAAAAGTAGATGTAAAATAGAATATATCTGTGGCAATTTTTGTTGATGTTTTCTTTAACTGTATTGGTCCTTTCTTTAGAAAGATACCAGGTGACAGCTTTTATAACATATATTTTTCTTGTTTTAATGTGCATTTTTATGTAATGTATTGTTTTTATTATTTATATCATTTTATCGTCTAAATAAAGATTACTTTAAGCAAACGTATTTATTTTCACTGATGTACTTCTTTGAACTCGAAATTAACTTATAAACGTATGAACTAATGTTAACTTTAATCACGACTGAGCCGAGTCATTCGTTTTTTTTAATGACTTAAACAAGTATAAAATCAATTCTATGAGGTTGTTTCCATATAATTTAAACATATATTGCATCTGCCGATAATATCTAGGTATATACCTTCTACGTATGCCTAATTTATAAGTCTTTAAATGAAATGGAATTCATCTTCAATTGTTAGCTTATCACAAAGTTCGCAATCTTTATAGGCTATTCCGTCTTTGAATATCATTGCATATTCAATGTAAGGAAGGAGACACACCTATTTTTTAACTTACTCAATTTTCCATCCGATTCCGGTGCTTTCAGTCCTTTGATTCGCCATTATTTCGGCACATTACAATCAGGGATCGTCCGAGAGATAGAGTGACCGATGGTACACCGTTGATATTTGAGATCAGAGTCATGTCATTTACCCTCTCTAGTTCGGTAGATATACAAAGGGTTTCGAAAGGTACTCGCCCGGTTGGTTACCTGATGTAAACCTTTGGTATCTTCTTTCTGGACACCTAGGCAATCTGCCAATACCGTACGATAAATGTCCAGTTATCGTAATTACAAGTCTCGCGACCTAACCGACTCAGGTATGCAGGCTGGCTTATAAGAGAGTGGTGGTGATGGTAGTGTTGGTAGTTTTCACTCCGGATCACGGCAGTAAGCCGCATTTAACTTACAAGAGCACAGTTCAGCCACCACATCGTTCTATGGGAAGTCTGTCAAGCAGTTTACCAGTACTAACTGCCTTCACTTCGGCAGGGAGCAGATAACTTCTGTGCATGCCAGTGCAGAGATACAGTGCGAATGACCGTAGATAGAATTTCAAAATTATTCCACAATGAAAGTGGCCTGCACCGTCCGCGAATCAACCTCGGATGCTCAGTTCACAATCCAACGCTCTATCTGCCGTCATGTCTGCATGTTTAATACCATCTACGATATCCTTACGTTGCCCATCCAGCACCATAAGACCATACGTACAAAGAATGGCGTTCATCTGGATCCCGGGCAGTACCCTTCCGAGTCGCCTTAAGTGACCGCTCACATACCGCTCGGAATATGGATGATTATTTGGCGCCATGGGTGTGGAAATATCAACCGGTATCAAAAGGTGTCCGGTCGGTTATCAGAGGGCTTTTACGGTGAGCAGGCGATGTGTCTCATGCGGCAATAAATAACTTCGCGCTAAATCTCTCCGGTGACCCGTATGGTGCCCCACCGATGACTTCAGGGGTGGGGGTCACCGGCCGGAAACCTTTAACAATTTGGCAATTTCAGTCAGTTCACACACCGGTACCCAAACATAAACCTCGGAGTGTAATGTGACGCCTATTCAAAATATATTCAGTTCAATATTTATTTTGCATTAAACTACATGTTGCAAATAGCCATTGTTACATAATATAGGTAAAGTGTAAGACATTTTTACAAATACAGTACAAAATGTTTTCAGAGAAGTTATTAACAATAATGTGTTGAAGAGATATATCGAACTCTATTCCAATCATATATAGTGTCACGTATTGCCATTATGAAATGGTACCCTGTACCTTTGAAGCAGTCTTTAAACCCAGGTGAAGTGGTCGGCCAAATGACCGTTAGAGAAATATATGTAGGTGTGTGTTTTGAAAGCTAGCTACTTTGCGTATATATATAATGGTCAAAGAAAGGTAACTCGTCATAGTCTCAAATTATCGGCAATAACGGTTGCTTCCCTTATATTCTAATGCATACATATCGTCAATCATTTGATTATTTAAATCTTATGACGTAATCTTAAAATGTGTAAAACAAAATTCAAAATATGGTCCTTACAGCTTAGATGTCTCCTTAGGTTGGAATGAAATCACGTATGTTTGTAGATTCATAAACGTACCACAAAATGATAAGTTTTTTTTAAACATAGCAATATACTGTTTAATTTTATATACCGCTTTAAATTTAATAATTATGTTTAACATCTATATTTCTATCCTTTATATGAATGCATTCGGAAATGTATAGGCTGTCAAACTGCGTTAATTCATTGTAGAGAAAACAATTACTTCAAAAACAGATGCGTCGATTGATTTCTTTATTCTTTCGTTTTATCAAAAATAATCTTTGTTTGTTGTTGTGTTCTACTGTTAACTATTACTTTAAAAAACTTCATTAGTGTTTAAATTGCATTTCATTTTCCCCTCCTGTTAAATCCTAATTGGAACGCAATATGCATTCTTTGAACATGCCGCTTTCTACCTCAATTTTACGGTAATGTATTCATTATGCAATATTGCGAAAGATTTCATTGGACGAGAATATATGTCACGTGTTTAAGGTATTTAGGTCACTGTAACACTTAACAAAGACACCGCACCGCGGCCATTTGTTTACAAAATTTCATTTCGAAGATGTTCGGATAAGTTTTCGCTTTAAAGGTAAGTAAATTTAATTAAATTATATTTGCATGCGCTAATATGTTTACGTTAAACATAAACACTATGAAACATGTTTATGTGGGTGTTTTAAGGACAAGTAATAGTGTATAAACCGCCAATCGCCGAATTCCAATGGCCGATTGCAGGTGGTTTTTGTGTTGGATAATTATTACGCGAGCATCTTTTTTGGTTTATATGGAATTTTAACTTGTGCAGTGGTGATTTTAGCGGGGTTTATTTCAGTTTTCAGGAAAAGTAAGTTCATTATTATTGCCAACAAATTATTTTGAGGAATTATTGTTTTTATACTGTACGCTAAATTGATAAATCTGCAGCGAGGTTTAATACATACAGCGGCCGTAATGGGGTCGAGTCAAATTGACATGTATACAAAGCAGGTTCATTAATCGCTGTGAGAGAAATGGCCGGAGGGAAATATCTACGGTCAATGACCCATTTCGTAAACTGGACATCCACACGTGCTATAGCGAGATTATTATATTACAATTGTTGTTAATATTGTAGCATCAGTTTTAATGTTAGACTTAAATAATAAACAATTTAAACATGCAATTAAAGTGTGCTTTAATTTAATTACTTGAAATATTTGACAGGATTTTAAATATTATTTACAAAAAAGAAAAATGACAGGAAATAATTCTGGAGTAAGCATGTTTTATAATAAAGATTTTGTCATCTAAGTATATAAATTAAGATAAAAATGTTTAATTACAAAAAAATATGTAACAATACAATAAAATTTAATCGAAGTAGACTGTAGATCTAACATGCCTTCTGACTGGCATGTTTATATTTTTTTTAATGACTAATTTAAAATTTGTAAGATTTTGCCATCAAATATTCAATTTAATTTTAAGTGATTTTTACAGTATTTTGTAATAATTTATTTTTTAACCTTATTTACCGAAATGACTCAGAAAAGTAGGTCAAAACACATGGAATAATAGCAGACAATTACCACAATAAGTAATTAAACAAAAAATGGAAATTGTTAAATTTGAATGATAGGATATTCATGTCTTGTATATAAATAAAGCTGTTTATACATAATAACATGCGCAAGTATAGTACATGTATTTGTCACATGGAAATGTCTTTAATAAAGTTAAAGTACATTGTATATATTTGAATTCATTTTCTTAAGTTCATGTTCCATTTAATATTTAACATTTATTGATTTTTTTTTCAAATTTTTTTGAGGAAAAACAATCAAGTTAATGATCATCTGATGGCAGGCAATTAATTGGAATGAATTTCAAATTGACATTAGTTCCCAAAAAAAAAGATGTTTTTTAATTGTCTCCAGCCCCTAATATTGTGTGATATATTAAAAGATATTTGTAGATTTTTTTTTGTTATAAATAGCTCTGATATTGTAAATGAAAAGAAATAGGGTCTACAAAAGAAAAGTTTCCATTTCATTAACATTATTGCTTGTAAGGATTCTGTTGCTGCACTCAATCCCAACTCTTTTTTTTTCAAATTGATTGCCTCTCGGATATAACTATATCCCTCTCGGATATAACTATATCCCTGATATAATAATATAGATTAATCATTTGGTGGTTCCCTGGATATTAAATAATTTGGTGGTTCCCTGGATATCGTCATAAGCATAGTTTACTGTATGTTTTAAAGGCATATTGTGTTTGTGCTATAATGTTAAAATATCTTGATGCTGTTGTTTCTGTGTCAATGTTATTGTTAAAGGAACTCCACTGAGGTCAAAAGGGCTACAACATAAAATCGAAAATCAAGGGATAATGAAAATTATTATTTTTATGAGATTTTTAGCTGGATTTGAGAGAAAAGTGTTGCAATGCTTTTATTTTAAGGTTATTTGCCACAATAGAAATGAGTATTCTGAAAATACTAGGTGAGGGAATGAGCTGAAAACTTGCACACAGGCTATTTTTTAGGCATACAACAATGAGTGCACAATTCTCAGAAAAATATTTCCAGTCCCGTCATATCAAAACACCTCAGTGGAGTCCCTTTATGGCTTTAACACGTCAAAGTTATTTGTTTGTTTTAGATGATGAATGCAGAGACAAGGGAGAAAACTGGTGCAGTTCCTCTTCCGGCAACATCCGGTCCTCGTCCGTACCGTTGTGATATCTGCCAGAGGTCGTTCAGAGAGGTCGCCACATTACGAAAGCACGAGCAGCTTCATCGTGCCGATCGGCCCTATATCTGTACAACATGCGGAAAATCTTTTCTGTGGTCATCAAACCTGAAGGTGCATGAACGTGTTCACACAGGCGAGAGGCCATATAAATGTAAAATATGTCATAGGTAAGAATATTACATTATGATTTACATACATATACATTTACATAGATATCTATGACTGCAGTCAAATGTTTTATGAGTTTTGACATATAGTTATGAAGAAAATAAGAGAATTAAAGTTTGATTTCATAAATGAACACCATGTGTCAGGTAATGTGATATTACAGGGAAACTTGATACTTAAAGGAGTTCCAATAAGGTCAAAATGGGGGGAAACTATTCACAATTAAATGATTGTTATGTTAAAACAAGATGAGCAAACTAACTAAAATTTTAAACACAAGGATTCGTAAAATGGTACACAAATTGTCCATTATTGTGAAAATTATTAAAAAAATATTTCAAGTGTTGTCAAATCAAAATAACTCAGTGAAGTCTATATAGCCACAGTTGTAAGATGTACTGCAAAACTTGAAATATAAACAAACTGCTTTTTATTTAAAAAAAGGGAAAACTTTGAAGGAAATAGAATGTAGAACACTTGCTTGATAACAGCAATTATGAATAAGTCATAAATGTGACTAAATAAAAGTAAATTTTTGTGGACATTTCTTATTATTATGGAGAAATCATGAATGATTAAGAACTTCAATATTAAAAGCTACAACTACATGAAATGTAATGTTATGAAATCAGCAACAAAAACAGAAATTGTATTTTATAATATTTATTAACAGATGTTTCACACAGTCAAATGATTTGAGAAGACATGAGAGAAATGTACATATGCGAGGCAAGTTGTACAGTTACAAAACACCTGTTGGACGTCCGGTCCCGCCTGCGGCCCCAAATCCAGGACAGATGAATTTAGCGGCTTATCAAGCATTTGCTCTTCAGCAACGAGCCATTTTACAACATGCTTTAACATACGAAAGTATAATGCAGAATTCAGTTGCTATGACAACTGCATCCCACTACCTCCAGCACACAGACCGGTCACTAGCCAGTTTGTCTGCGATGAACGATAATGATGTAAGTACCGTATCTACCTCAGCTAATGGTGCACACTCAAGCCATGACAAACAAGAAGACCTTGATCTACCTCATAACGATGATCGTCCTCTAAAATTAGAACAGGTTAGTTAATCTAGTTTAGTCTTGTTTTGTTATGATTCTCACCTAAATGTTAGAACAGATTGACAAATCCAATCCTGTCATGTTTTGTTTTAATAATGTAATGTATTAAATTAGTGGAACAAATAAAGTTGAAAGTAAAATGAAAATGTTTCACTTTGGCTGAGCACAGTTGTTTACTCTGTACGGTTGTTATGTCTTTAAGAAACATGCTATCTATGTTTATTCTCTATTCCATGACCTACTAAAGTCATACAAGAATAAGTCCTATACAAGGATATATTACTGTACTTCAGGTAACGCCACCTCCTGGCAGTCATCTACCGTATGACAGACAGGAACAACGTAACAATGATGACACTCACAGCCCAGGTCAGTCACGTTACTCACCTGCGTCAAACAAAACACACTCACCAACTACAATGTCAGCTACCTCACCGTACGCAAACATGAACGGACACAATGGTTCTCAGTTAGAATCTCCAGAAAGGAAGAAAGATGACCGACCTTACTCCCAGGAATCCCATGCTTCAGAATATCCCAAGTACTTCAACTACCCGGACCAGCATGCAGCACTACAGCGCAGCTATCACTCTGCATTCAACTCCACACACAACCACTCGGACAGTGTCATGGACCTGCGAGTAAACAAGTCTCTATCTAGCGTAGAGTCAGAAGATGGCGAACTTGATTGGAAGGCCAGAAACTCTTCAACACTGTCGTCAAAGAGTCCGGATTCCGAGTCCGAGAGTGATTCTAAAAGAGATGTGACGACGACGTCGTATACACCGACTGTGGATTCAGGGATTCACCATTGTCAGCATTGTAACATCTTTTTTCACGATTTCACCATGTACAATCTGCACCAGAGTCTTCACTCACCGGTTGACGAGGACCCGTTCATGTGTCCGTCTTGTCTGAAGAGATGTCAGGATCGGATAGAGTTCATGTTTCATATAGTCTGGCACGTAAAGTATCCGCACACTATACCGAAATATCAGTCGTTTAAAGAGAGCTACCTGATCACTGAACCGGATGATAATGATGTAGATCACAACGCTGACTAAATTATCCAAGGTACCTATACTTTATTTTATTGCTTGAATTTTTATTTTTACGTTAACAGTTATAGTGTTTGGCCACTTATTTGTCAATGTCCTGTTAAACCCAAACAAACACAAACAGCTTGAACTTTTGTATTTTTCAATAAGTTTACATGTTAAAACAGTATTTCATTCAGTACATGTACTGTACATATAAAATTTGCATTACAATATTAGGCAATGGGACTAAGGTGGAAGCCTCAAAGCCTTTTGTAAATCTCTGTCCAATTTTAAATGATTTTGATTTAAGTCATATCATTACGACATTAGCAGTATATGTTTATTACGACAGTTTCTGAAAATTGGCTATTTGTTCATACGCGTTGTAGGGTTGCATGTATATCAGGAAATGGCTGAAATACTGGAATTGACGTATTTGTTATTTATTAACTTCCTAAAAATATTTATTGCATATATTTATAAAAAAAAAAATAAACATTATGAATCATTGCTAAAAGGTATCCGATTAAAAACAAAATAGAATTTTTAAATGATGTACACCATTCCTGTATTTTTGATGAATTCCGGTAAGTTGTGTAACTAGAGTACCGGTAATTACATAAAATTAAATGTCATCGGACTGTCTGGTATATGTATTGGGTTTGATCATTATTTGGCACCAAAAAAAGCATTGGACATTATGTAACATGCAGTGTTGGGGCTGTTAGCTGGGATTTCACCTTCTTGCCAATACATTCAGAAAGTCAAAGTACCAGCTTTTCAACAGGGGTGCCTTGGTTATAATTAACAAGTTCATACCAATTATATTTATAAAAGTCATCACATTAGTTCATTAATGGGTTAAACCATATTGTTTTATAATAGAAGTTAACCCGTTACTGCACTGAGGTAGAGGGGATCTGTTGTTCAGAGTTATTTTTGTTATAATTCTAAAAGTTATCAATATATTTTTCAGCTGGCCATGTTGAATGTTGGGTTACACAGACGATTGTTGCAGGTATTGTTACAAGATAGTTTACATCAAGCAGGTATTTTACCAGGTGTTTGTTGTCAGTGTGTAACAGAGCTGGTGGTTTTTTTTAAATTTTATTTTTGATATATGTAAAATGTGATGACGATGACTACCTCCTTATAATAAAAAACCTTTATATAAATATACAATGTAAAATGTGTACAAAGAAATCTTAGAAATCAATTTCTTGATACTGAAGTCATGTGTTAGCTAAATTTTAAATTTGTTGAATTTTTATTTGATCAGAAAAAAATTAATTTGTGTTAAATAAAGAAATTCAAAATTTATTTGAAGAATTAATTCATACTGAATAAAAAAGTGTGATTTGTAATTATTTAGAAAGTTATATTTTTGATTCATCGACAAATGTAAATGATATATCTTAAATCTATAGGTGTAAACAGATAGCTGAAGTTAAACTTGTGAGATGTTTTTGTTTTGTTATAAAATCTTTTTCTTCTAAGTGATATATATTTTGATTTAATCTGGACACATGATGACTCAAACATTACTTCACAATTATAACTGTCCCCCAGTCATTAACTTTATATATTTGTCTACAACATGGACATGTATGTAGTTATATTTACATCTCGTACGTTTCTCTTTAGTTATTTTGTTAATTACCTGATATTACGATCGACAGGTACTTGCTTAATTACCTCGTTGTCTGTGTATATTCAATGTAACATTGTTTAATAAATAAATAAAACATGGTGCGATGATTTAGGGAAGGATTGAAGGTGGCGACGTTTAATGTCGTACAAGGTCACGGTCACTCGGAAGTTTTCATTACTTGATAATGATCTACCTCAAAATTTTGTTTGTTTTTTGAGACAAGAATTTATTTGTTATATTTTCAATTGTGTACATAATTATTTTTATGACTGATATTTCATAGTGTTTTTGTATTTTAAGCATTTATTAGTGATACCTCAGATATTACGCGGGTAGTTTACTTTTATATTTGTTTTTTTGTTCAGATATTGAAAATATCTGGTTTATTACACACTCCCCACCCACTCTCATATATTATACTGGTAAAAAAACATGATTCCAAAGTTTTGCAAAGCATTATCCACTGTTTTAATACGGGTAAACATTTCTTGTTTTATTTTATAAATCAAAACTTACAATTCGATATTAATATAACCAGTATAGTGTCATATACAATTATTTCTTGTTTATTTGTACTTTATTTTAAGAAAATTCTGAATGTAATAACGAACCTACGTAAATGTTTTAAATGTGTCTAGTTTATACCTTTAACTTACAAAAAAAACATGTTAATTTAAATGCAACATGGAAAACCAGTTGTCGTTCGCAGTAGAAAACATGCCTACTGGCAATATGTCTATTTAAAGAACGTAGATGTAAATATATAAATGAAAGTACATTGTAAATGCAGGCTTACATATGTTTAAATGTATATTTTGATATTTTACAACAGTGTTCTTCACTTTCCAATGAAATTATTCTTCTCAAAAATCAAAATATTATACAGACACAGTGTCCAGTAGTTCATCTTTATATATATGTGTATGAATTTGTTTTTTAATTACACATAATTATGCTAAGAAAATATAGAAAACACATTATGTTATGTACATGTGATGTATGCATACATGATACATACAAGTGTGAAGAATGGGTTTTAATATGATTATATAACCAATATGTTTATATAACAATATGATCATATAACCAATATGTTTATATAACAATATGATTATATAACCAATATGTTTATATAACCAATATGATCACATAACCAGTATGATTATATAACCAATATGATCATATAACCGATATGATTATATAACCACCAAAGGTTTTCATGACAAAAATATGTGCCATTTTTTTTTATTTGAAAGCATAATCAAAATGTTGCCTAGGGTGACACAAAGGTATCAAAGAGATTGTATTGTTTTTATGAAAACTGTTCATCTCTCATCATCATCATTATCATCGTAGTCATCACTAGATGTTATATTATCATTTATGATAATTATTATTATCATGATGTTTTTGTTCATGGAATCAGGGTATACTAAAATATCACATGTTTAAATTGTGCAATAACTAAAACTTTAAAAATGCAGTTCCTTTGATATTTTATTAGAATTAACGTTTATATTTCAACTGCACTATTTTTTTTTATATTTTGCTATAAAGCATTATAGCAAGTGTATGAAGCTTGGACTAAATTGTTTAATTAAGACGTCGGTGACAAGAGTTAAAGTTTTAGTTTATTGTACAGTTTATACATTAAGCAATTAGTGCTGGTGTTCAGGTTACCAAGACGTAAAGCCATTCATTATAACTATACTGTAGGGAAAAATTATGCTTGGCTCTTTAATGGATCTCGATCAAACATGTACATCATTGGTTATATTATATATTAACCATTTCATATCATAACAGGTAGAACTATAATTATATACACACACTCATATTATTGTACCAAAAAAATTAACACTTAGCTTTATCATTCTTTATATGATTATTATAGAAGAAAACATGCATACACAAGGTCTTATATAAAAATAGTTTTTGTTTGCTGCTTCTGACTGGACACACATCTAAACTCCTGCAAGTCAGAAAATTGGGGGTGGGGGGGGTGTCTGAAAAAAAATGTTTTTATTCATCTGTTTTTAATTTTGTCCACTAGAATGACTCTCCCCTTGAACATGAGTTTCCTATGAATTGAGAAATTTAATGTTAAAATGCAAAAACAAGTGTACATGAGATAATACATATACTCGGTCACTTACGTTTAATAAAAGAATTGCTGTCCATCTATAATAATGAATTATATTGACATAGATGTAATATTAAGACAGATTTTTTTAAACCAGCCTCTTAACCCAACCTAAATTGTATGCCTCCTGCAAAATCAAGTCACCTAAAATTTAACCTGTAGTGTGGGTCGGAAGTGGCAAACACAAACATTTTCTAGGGACGGCCCTGCAGTGCATGATATTCATGTAAGAATTGTGCCATAACAATGTTTTCATTGTACACCATCATTCTGTTGAAGAAATTATTGTGAAATTTGCATAATGAAATTTTAAAATTGTTTTCATGTATTTTGGAATCATCCATTGTTAAAGCATAATAGTTATAATAAATCTGATTGTACATTGATGCAGTCATGTATACTGTACTCAGGTTCAGGTGGAAACTGAAGTTAAATCCAAAAAACACCAACCCAATTAGATTTCTGACCAACTGAATTGAAACTATATTTAGTTGGACTTGTCCAATTACGATTTTGTTTAGCTGTCCATTATAAGTTTTAGGTAAATTAAGATATAAAGTTGAAGTTTAGTCAGTCACAAGTATAGAGCCTGGTTATTATACAGATATTCAAGCTGACCTGTGTTAGACAACAAAGATGTTAATTTGGCCTGGACAGGCACAAGATATTTGACATTTGCTAATTTACCAAGAAGTGCATTTCAAAAGGAATATATTTATATTAATAATTAACTTTGCATAGATTAAACATTTGTAAACTGCACAGGATTAGACAGTAAGCATTTTGATTTTACTGTACAGAATTTAATAGTTAACATTTGGAGATCAAAGAGGGAAATATTTTTCCAGAATTTGTGAATTGATAACTGTAATTTTAATAATTAAGACAAAATCAATAGGAATATTTTTTTGTAAGCATTTACACATGGTACTAGATGTATGAAATAAATCTACGCAGGATACTAAATGTTGAACACTGATTTAAGTTTTAACAATATTAAAGCTGAAAATATTTAAGATAGGCTTAATAATATTTCTGTCTCTGAAAATTGCTGGAAATTTGATGTCTAGATTAAATTAATTCTATTATTTCACATTAAAACAGTGACGGTATATCTATAATACAATTAAGTGAGGCATATTTCTGGAAGCAGTTTGTCAGATTGTTGGCACAAAGTTCCACGAGTGAGATAAAACAAAGCAATTTTTTCTCTTCAACCTGCCATATTTTATCATTATGCAATGAGTAACGGCTAGAATACAGCAGTAGAGATGGAAATTTTGGCACAGACTCCACCAACACTCGTTCTTTATGATTATTGAAACTGCTGCATGAATAGAATTGTTACACAGAATATGATAATTAGGAATTTGCTCTGTTTCAATATAATATTTACTTCAAGTAAATAAATACAGTTTGAGACTGTCATAATTTATGTGACTTGCCAATGGACCATTACAATAAGGTCACATATGACAGGGAGTCTCTTAATACAGTCTGAAAGTTATATTTTTTCTAACCATCTGGTATTCCATAGTGAAATACATCATACATATCTATATAAGGTAGTTATAACCAATTGCAATTAAAACATATTTTAAGTATTGGATGCAAATAAAATCAGAATGCCTGTAGAACATATTGAAATCATTGCACTGATAGATAGAATCTGTTGTCATCAGCAGACTAAATGTTTAATTTGTTTGATCATTTAGGTAGGCTGAAACAAGAGAGACAATAAAGATGATCCTTTAACATTGTCTATAAACACGTCTGTTAATACAGATAACAGTTTTGTAATATTATCATATCTAAAAATTTAAGTGTACTTTTTGGTTGTAATATTATCATGCCTAAAAATTTAAATGTACTTTTTGGTTGAAGATAAAAGTTCTTTGGGTTGAACAACATCTTTTGATTTATTTCTGTAAATTTTTAGAAACAAATAATTCCAGACAAACCCAGTGTTTTAAATGTTGTTTGAAACATAGGGGAGAAAAAAATGACTTGTAGTGAATGGTATAGAATTCTTGTCACTGATTTACGGAACCCCTCTCGTCTAGACTTAAAAGATTACAATAAAACTTGACGTTAACAGCATTGCTGGTCAGACAGATCAAATAATCCCGCCAACAGTGTTTTAACCATATTTCTATACAGTACAATATGGATTTTTAAGAATTGAGTGATTTTTTTTCTCTCTTTATGTTACATTGTAGCCGTTGTGTTACATTGTAGACGTTGTGTTACATTGTAGCTGTGTATAATGTAAAAGTGATTATATTTGTATAACTTTGGGTTGATTTGGAGTAAAAAGTATTCTAAATTTAAAAGTTTCCACATAAATCAATTACTCACCAAACTTTAAAGGGATTCTAGTTCATATTTTGTTTTCAGATAATGAATTAATAATAATTTTGTGTTTGTTTTCGTTATAAATCTTAATTTATGGTCAGAATTTGATTAGTTATTTCTTGTAGGATATCACCAAGTGTATTATCCAACATTTAAACTACAACATTTTCAAAAATATTGTTTAATAAAGCTAGAGGTAAGAATTTTCACCTCTCCTATTTAACCTTCAATATACAAGAGAGGGCATTGATCCTAACAAGTAAATTTAGCAGTGTAACACGTTCATTGTTAAAGCATGTTACAGGCAGGACATTGCTCTCTCCATGCTTTATTGATCCACAATATATAGCATGTAGAAAATGGATGAAATTAACAACTGCGGACACTCACCTTCTGACCTAATTATTGTCATAATGTAAAATGTATAATATGATAGCCATTAGAGATGAATACAAAACATGAGCTCTCCACTTTGGAGTTTGTAAACCCCGGGCATAGCTAGTTTGTTTTGTAAGAGTCAATTATCTACCTGTCAGATTTATCCGTCAGATTTAATGGGCATCATGTGAATTTTGATATACTTGAGTCTTTAAACAAGCTCAGGTAATAAGAAGAAAAATAACATCATACATATTTAAACCAGAAGTAGAAGTCTTGTCTGTATTATATCTGTATGTTACCTGGGTTTTTCTTGAACAATAT